CATTCTGGAATATTCCATGGCATGAACGGATGTGAAAATTGATGAGTATATTATGTCGCGTGAACATATAATTCGTAGCTGGAGTGGCTCGTTCACAAGATACCAGAATAAGTATTCAAGTCACATGCATGGATATTTGTCGAAGTTCTATATTTTCGCTTTCAATTTAAGCAACTGGCACTGTTTTTTTTGGGGGGGGCTAGAATTCAACACTAAGTGTTTTAAATCGCTATAATGATAAAATTATAAGTATCTAAAAGTCAGTGTCCTTTATCTCTGCTCCGCAAATATTTCATAACGACCAACTTCCATACCCTCTTAACTTTGATGGATTTATGGGAAGGAGAAGTTTTCATTTCATTGTTTGAGAATTATTGTCTTTTAAATTCAGTATTGATATTACTTTATACAAATGTTTGGATCACAATTTTAGGAAACAATGTTCTTCGTAATTAAAATTTATGAAGAGTGTATAAATTGTTGAGTCATTATGAATGATATAAAGCGCAAATACTATTCTAAAAACTAAGGAAGTTAACTCAAAGTACGTGTATTTGTTTAAAAAATGCTTCATGTATGGGCAGGGCCTGTGCAAGATTACCTTACTTTCCTAGAGGAAAAAAATTTAGACACCCGTATACATTGTCTATACATAATAAGCACAGTGAAGTCGTCGTAAGACGGTAACCAAACATTCAAGACGACTTTGAGGATCTATGAAGTGATGCCTTGGAGAACAAGACTATCGACTGTTTTCAGTGTACTTATTTAATTGTTATTTTAGAAATACTGGTCTGTTTCAGAGATGGTCGTCTTAAAAAGAAAACCGCCATGAAAAATCTTCAGTGTATATTTATTTATGATATCCAAATAAAATATTAATTTATTATTATATTTAACAATATTTAATTAGACTTTAAATATATTAAAGATTGAACTAGCTGTTTGTTGTTCATATATGAGAAAGAAATGCGCCATCCTATCTTAACTCTTCTTGGACGATCGCTTAGGCTCATCCAATATTAAAACCGGCAAGTACTCTATCCAAATTTTATAGCTAATCAATAAAAGATCCGGAGAATGAAATAGTGGTAGTGTAATGATGGAAGCGAAGGAAAATGTTTCGCTTGTAGATGCTTTTTCTCCGTAATGGAACCATATTTCTCTGTCGAGAATATAACAAGAAAAAAGCTCATCAAACATTAAATAATATTGCTGAGCGTTGGTAATTTATCTCAGCATCTAGACAACTTGCCTGTATTTTTCATGGTTTTCTCTGTGTTTAATGCGTATACGAGACATTTTTCTTCCTAAAATCTTCCATAAAAAATTCTCTTAAGTCCTTCAATGCTTTGTCGTATGGAGTCAATTACCAGTTAACTAAGATATTACGGGGAATGACGAACGTGGCCTAACTCAAAATAACAGATAATTTGAAGGTAGCCAATAAACACAGAAAAGAGGAATAACCCGAATTATAATTAATAAAAGTACGCTATTGATAATTTACGTATACTTTCAAGTAAATTAATCTGAACAATACGTCAATTTGATTACGTAAATTAAATAACTATTCAAAGTTCTCTTTTTTTCTGTCGTTGTGTGTACTTCTACTTCAATAGCGCATATGCTGTTTTGTTATTTTTCTTTCATTACTCTAGTATTTCTTAGAGTTAACGTGAAAATAGAAATTCATGGGATGGGAGTTAATTGAAACAGAAGATTAATGGCTGTACACTTGATATATTTTTGAGATAGAGTAACTTACTTATAACAGATGATTTAAAATTGTTTATGTTTTTCGGATTACGTAATTAATTAAGTTTTATTGCGGATAATAATCACAACTTCCAAACACAAAAACATCACCTGCTTTGATTGCATTTTTCTTTTTCTTTCTGAACTGCCTGTAGACAGTTTCGCCTTATGTTAATAGTTTGTGATATAATTTTTTCCGTCCTTCCAAAATAAACAAATTTAATCACTTTTAGACAAGGTCTCGTTAAACTGTAATCCGATTAATCCTTCTGTGGTTAATCGGAAACTAACTGGCATTATCTTATCTACTTACCCGTAACAAGTGCTTTATACCTATATAAGTACATATATAAATAATTAGTTATGTTAAAACACGTGAGTACTTTCTACCTAAGAAGAAACTTTTTCGATGAGAGCTTCTTACGATTTGTTTACAAACTGAGTATATTTAAGTTATATGTAAGGGAAAAAAATCACAATAATTAACCATTTCCAGAAAAACAGTCCTGGGCGCCAATGCCAGTAGTTCAGGGTTGGTTTTTCATTAGTCTGGTTCCTGTTCGCTATTACGTGCTTAAATGTGCTTAATCTTTGGAGTTTAAAAATCGAATAGTTTTCTGCTGCATTCAGTTGTGAAGCTGCTTTAACTGCATGAGGTGTGCACCTTCTGTTTACGATATATAGTATTTGCTTGAAGAGATATTCCTGTTTACGTTCCCTTCTCTACCTTTTTTTTTTTTTTTTTTTTTTTTTTGTTTATCTTTATTTGCTGTATTCCATAATTCTATAAATCCTCAAAAGTTGATAAAATAAGCATACACCATAAAAAATTACGCAGTTTAATTTATTTCTCAGATGCTACGTAAAATTTTAATTCTCTTTTTCAGATGATGTATTGTTATACACTAAATTATGGTTAAGTTAGTAAATTAAACTCACTTCCAAAGCATGAATTATGAAAGGTAATTTTAATACAGTAAAACTTCAATTACCCAAATCACTTGTTCTTTCTATTCAAATACATTAAAAATCTTAACTTATTTACGTGTTTTTAATCTGAATACGTGCGGGCAAAACAATTTATTTACCATTTTTTTTGTAAAATCTGTAGTAGTAATTGTAAAATTCGTAGTCTATCTTTTGCATTATGAAGCATTTCAGGAGAAAAACTATTCATGTCCATAATTGTAACCGAGGAAAACGTGGAGAAAAACAATTTTTGTCCACGCGCCAAGAAGGAAGAAGAATTTACGTCTTAACTTCCTTCATAAGGCGCATTCATGTTCGTTCTTGTTTCTTGTAACGACGACCTGTTGGTTTTCTTCCATCAGTTCTTTAGTAGTGTTTGTGAACATGCAAATTGATGATTCTAGCTCAGGCTCCAGTTCAGTGGCAGAGTTTTCTGCCAAGAAGAGGAAGAAAACACGGAGAATCCGCGATGTTATGAAAGTTTCAAAAAGTAACCCACGAGTGAGTTGGAACTTGACTGCAAGTGCACAATTTTCTCAGTGTTTTTCTGTTTTCAGATAGTGCATCGAATTCTCAAAACTTTCAATGCACTTGGGAATGGGATAGTAACCAAAATCATTTTCTCTTCCGTCTTTTAATGCTTTTGTCTGCTATGCGCCGACGATCTGGCTTGGGAAATAAGGCATCTTCACATAATGCATCTTACTCTTATCGAGTACGTTATTTCTAAGACTGGCAATGTAATGATGTGAGAGTTTATATAAACGCTTTGATTCATTCCAAGGTATTTTTTAAAAAAATCAGGTTTAAAAAAATAAGAGAAGCCAATGACGGAAAAGCACCGGTAGAATACAAAGGAAAACATACAAACCGAAAACACACAGTTACTGAAGAAACTTATAAAATAATCGACTGCCTCAGAGAGAGAAAATCGCATTATTCCTTTAAAAAGATCAAGAAAATATACCTGTTGGAGTAATTAAACATCACAAAATTACAAGATAGGTACAAAACAAATACTCTGAATAATCCAGTATTGTATGATAAATTCAGAAATATATTTACTTCTAAATTTAACATCAGATTCGGTTAAAGAAAGGACACTTGTAGTCTTTGTGATACGCTAAAAGCAGAGACTGACATGCTTGTAAAAAAATCAGAAAAAGTTGATAAAGGACAAGAAAAGCTAATCTGATTCGAGACCTGAAAAATAAAAAGACAGAAAAAAAACTTAATTTGAGAAAGAGCCAGTTCTAGCAGCGAAGAAGATGTGTGTTTTCTCGATTAATACAAGAAACTGGGAAAAATAATTTTAGTCATCTTATATATATATATATATATATTGTTTATAATAAAAATTTCTTTAAATAAAGATTAGAAGTGTATTACGAATTTTTGTATGATTATATATCAATATTTTATTTACCATTTAAGCTGCACAAATTAAAAATTCATTTTTCTCAAAATTCTTGTCAACGGACATAAACAGTTCCTTCTCCCCCCCCACGGATCTTTTCTGGGGTAAAATAATGCAAAATAGAATACAATATATTTTTAAGAATATGTACTATATTAAATATTTCAGTTGATATGGAAAAAAAGGATTGTGTGTTTAGGCAAATAAAATTAATTTCATTATTTATTTTTTTAAATGGTACGCTTTTCATTTTGATGTAAGAAAAATTTTTTAAATGTTATTTTCTAATTGTATAAATGAAGGGTTTCTGTTGACATAAAATAAGGAATGCAATTCCCTGCTTATATTCCAGTATTTGTGTATTTGGTCTACATTTTTTCAATATTCTAGTGGACTTTGATCTCAGTTATATCTGGAGTCATACTGAACGTGTAATGAACTATATATTTGAAAATTATTACTCTTCTTACTTTATGCTTTGTTTCTAAATTAACCAGCTGAAGAAAGTTCTATAACATCTTCGAAACTATAGTAATACTTAATTAATTTGCCCCAATTCTTCTTGTTACTTTTAGCATTCTTCTCATTTAACGCTTTTGCAGTAAATTACAAAATTGTTTTATTAAATTATTAATTCTGTACCTTAGAAATTTACCTTTGCATACGAAGGTTTATGGATACATAACCGAAAATATAAATAAAATATTAACCTAAAGAGAAATGTCGAAAATGCATTTCTCATAAATGGTCAAACTGCAGACAAACATTTCGGGAGAGGTAAGAAAATTTATTACATTAATAAACATTTTTTTATTAAGTTCAGAAATACTCAGTCTGCGCCTTTTGTGACATTTAGGCGAAAATCAATTTCTGGCAACTGGAAAGCTAATATGGGCTCTGCAATGTTGGAACAAATTCCTATGACCGACCGATATAAGATGTGGGTGGACGAAGTGTCGGAACTCTTTGGAGGACTCGACATTTGTGCTGTAGAAGCAATACAAGGAAAAGATGGAAGAGAGCACATAATAGAGGTATGCATAATAATATCATTACCCCAAAGACACATTTTATCATTTCTCAAAGTAGTAAATAAATCCCCCTTTCTGCCTCTTTTCTGCCCTTCAAACTGTTCAAATTTCTTATTACTGGTGTATCCTTAGTTATATTTATAGTTTTAATAGAATACAAATTCTGAATATCACTAAATACTTAGTTGTATTAAGAAATTGATATTTAATCACAATTTTGAATTTAATTGTGCTCTACTTAAACAAAATATTTTCATTATTAGAAATTATAAAATTTTCCTTCTTATAACTTGCAAGTTTTCGTATAAAATGCCAAATTAAACAGTTTAGTATGTCGAAACAGAATACGAAGGCTTGTTTAAGTTCTGATAGTGTTCTTTCAGGGGCCCCGAGTGCTTGTGTTTCTTATTTTTAGAAAGCGAAAACAAGAATTCAAAGAGTTGTATAATGATTTAAGACTATTGCTGAACGTTTGTCCATCTAAAACTTTACATAAAAATTGTTTATTTCGATTAATTAAAACTTTTGAATGAGTTCACAGTTTGGGGGGTGGAACCTCTCATTTACTCTTTTACTATTTATTCAAAACTATATTTATTTTTATTAATAATGATTGCGTTATTGCGCAGAATATGCACATATTAATTCATCGGTAGCAAATCTCAGAATGGTCTGCCTATTATTAGTATTTATGAAACATATGAACCCTAAATTTTTAATTCGTAATTCATCTTAATTAATCCTAGTTTCATGAGGCTGGTAAGTTAGGAAAATTTTATTATTTCAAACACTTTTTATTTTAATTTTGTGTGGCACAAGGCACGAAAATGAGGTAAGTCAGTAGAAATTTCTTTATCTCCCTTCTTAAACAATACTGTGGAGAAATGTAATAACATTTACTGGAAGAATGTAATTAGCTGAAACTGTAATAACGTTCGACGTGTACAGAAAAATGGAAAACTATTTTCAATCGCTCTTCTAAAATATCAACAATTCAAAGTATGCTTCCATAAATATTAAAATACCCATATTGCGTACAAAGTACATAAACTAGGAAAGCAAATGTCTCTACTTTCAAATAAAAATTCTTCAAAAATGTGTTTTGGGAATTAATGAACTGAAACTGTGTGCATATTCATTCAATGGATTACTGGAATGAAATAATTATTATCTACAGTAATGATGCTTAAAATAAAACTTATTACGATAACTGTTTATATCTAACAATGGCTTAATGTCTTACAGGTAAATACATCAGCGATGACGTTACTGGGAGAAACTCAAGAAGAAGATCGCAGACTTATTGCTGATTTAGTTGTACAACGCATGCAAACATATTGCAAACCTGTTCTATCGTGAGTATATAATTTGTTTACCCATTTCATTTCATTATTTCATTACGGCAATACACTATCTGCCTAAGGGGAGGAGTGCCTTCGTGGAGGACTTTCTAAGGGAAATTGGCTTTTATACATGTTACACATGGGAAAACCCACGAAAAAGCCCATGAAACCAGCCTGTTCGCGACATTCGAACCCCGGACCAAACTATCAGTGTTCAGCAACTTTACCGCTGAGCCGATGTTATTTTTGTTTAATTTGTTTACTAAAATACTTGAAAACTAATCAGACCTTTGTTAAACTCCGAAATGTTGTTATAAGTCATCTTTTGCTAGCTTCTCTTCAGTTGTTCAATTACTAATTGATATATACTGTAGAACTCCAAGTATCCGAATCTATTGGGACCGGACCCCATTCGGATAATCAAAAATTCGGATAATTGGATGTTTTCCGAAGAAAGGATATGCGTACACTTTAATTAATTACTGTATGTTGAAAATGGGTGGAAAAGAACTAGTTTTTAAGAAAAGGAGGTTTTGATTATTTAAAATGAAAAGGCAATACTTTTACGTACATGTTATAAAGCGTACTGTAGAGTACTTACAAGTGCTGAAAGCCATTGCTTGCTAAACATCTCAGTCAAAGGAAGCTGTTTGGCTGTCTTCATACGTTTTCGGGCAACCAAGTCGCGCCTTTGCTCACACTGGGGTTGACGATTTATTCTCTTCGACGCTGTTTTAGGCCGGCAAACGCTTCAACAGCTGATGGCCCCTTGTCTACTTCAACTTTGACATTAAGGTCACTTTCTTCCCTGACACTTCCATAAGTCTCTAAATAAGTCTTCTCTCACAGTTAATAAGTTCTTCCATAAGTCTTCTCTCCCACTTTCCATAAGTTCATCATCATTTAGAATTTGAATAGCATTTCATATGTATTGGAATATTTCTATAGAATATTTCTATTGGAAACATCCAATAGAATTTGATGCCCAGGGTCTGACGAATGTGATCCGTTCTGCTGTATCCTCAGCACTAACTTCTGAATACCCAGGAATTTTCAACAGAATATTTTTAATTCCTCAAGTGACACGTCACCCTCATCTTCTCCTGTCTCTTCGCTTTCCCTTTCTCCCTTTTCTCTTTTTCCTTCTCTTCTTCAGCTGATTCTGAAAAATTCTGGAATTCTGAAAGCGATTCGGATAATCAGCGATTCAGGTAGTCGAAATTCAGATAATTAGAGTTGTACTGTATTGCGTTGATTACTGTGTGGGTTGACCGAACCTTTGTTTGTTTCTTTCAAATACTGTTTCATATCAATTTCACGTGTGTTTGTTATTTATGGTCACAGTCAACTAAAAAACACGCCGAACTAATACTGTAACCAACACAATACCTTTTCGCCCAGTGCGATTATTTCCGCTATGTAATTTCTGTGTTTACGAAAGCTAGTCAAAGTGTTCTACCAGCTTATTTCGCAAACGGGTTTTATCACCTCAGCATAACTTCTGCGTTTCGAAGTTCTAAAGACTAGATATTCTATCAACTCAGCATTATTCCGACCTTACTAAGTCGACTACAGATTATTATTCAAAGGTCATACATTTCAGAACTTTAGATCTACGCACTTCACGATTTGTGTGATTCAAACAATTCCAGAAAGAAGCAATAAAACAGAGGAAGTCAGTGGAGTTTACTTAATTCACCTACAGAGTCAAAAAAAAAAAAAAAAAAAAAAAAAAAAATATTACTCATTCCCCCCCCCAAAAAAAAAGTGTTGAATAGGAATCTTTTTAACAACTCAAATTGAAATGCTCTCCTGCATCGTAATTTAAAGTTCAGTACCGTTTTGGGAGAAGGATTTAAGAATTGCAACAGCTATATACACATCCTCAAATGTCACATAACAATTGTGATAAAATTTTTGCCATTTTGGCATTGTTTTTAAATCTACGTTATCATATAGAGGCTAATGTGAACTTTCTTAGAATAAGTTATACTTGTTGTGAACAGTGTAAGATTATGAACTTAATTTTGACAATGACTAACAATGACAAAAAATGGCTAATGTGGTTAATATGTGGTTAATGCATACAGGAATATCACGTAGTATATAATTTTAGTAGCTAACAATTACAAAAAAAAATGGCTAATGTGGTTAATACATACGGGAATATCATGTAGTACAATCTAGAACAAATCTGTATATTAATCTATGAAGACAATAGGATAAAGTTTATAGAGGTTAAGGAAATTAATTTAACATCATCTGCTGAAGAATAATTTAATCCAAGAGGGAAAAAAATATTCCCAACGTGTCACAATCAACTACATGAAAGGCTAAAAAACTAATCGCCATTTTATTAACTTAAAAATAATCTTTTGATATTTTCTTCAGTGAAAATTAGACCAAGAATTTCATCTAAATGCAGATGAAGCAAACACCTGTCAGATATTTTTAAGAACCTTATCAAAGAGACTTTTAATTACTTTTTATTTCGTTAGGAAACGCCTCGGAAAAATTATACCTCAAAATAAAATATAAAAATCGCTTAGCAGTCAAATAAATAATCTTCCTTTGGTTAAAGGATCAGATCGGCAGACTAAATACATTTTATGTAAGCTACCAAGTATTAAAAATAATTTTTGAATTAAAGTATTTTAAATAACTGGAGCATGGTAAATCTCACTTGTCACCTTTTCAGTTTGATATTTTACGCTCAGCGGATTTTAATTACTACACTTCATTTTAATAATGTAAATGTTTATGATTATAATGGATCAAACACGACTTACCACACTTTACGTGCGAAGTTTAAACGATTTTTTAATATAACTGGGGCTCTAGATACTACAAAGATTCGTAAAGCTATAAAGTTCAGTATCATGAAAAATGATTAAAAACTGCATTACGAACTGCTATTTTGCTATAAGCAGAATCAGCTTGAATATGTAATTGCGCATATGAAATGTTAAACAGCCATATTTTAAGCAATGAGTAAAAGAATCTAATCAAATTTTAGACATTAATCGAAACAATGTTTTTCTAACTGTGGGCACTATTTTACCTTTTTCCGACATTAGCTACTCTTGAGGCCGAAAGTGGTGGCCATTTTATTGTGGAGGCACCTAATAGGCGGCGACTGTTGCCTCCTATGATGGGACGGACATTTACAAGCATATCTTCTCCGAGATTCGAACCCGGGACCTACGGTATCGCAGTCGGCTGCCCTAACCACTATACCGTCTGGGCGGCTTAAAGCGAAACGTGCCAATATAGAGAAGCAACTTGAAAGTGCATCGTAGCGTCAAACGTAGATTTTTCAATCATTATTAAAGAAATCAAACGGCTTTCAGAAGACATAGTTTAAAAAATCTGAAGATTTACAGCTTTCGATGCTAAAGTGCAAGACATGGTACGTCACAGAAAGAACTGGATTTTCTGATTTCAAAAGAAAATCAGTATCTTACCTAACTTTGTCCCGTAGGCCTTCAAGTCAAGACATGCCTGCAACGAGACCATTGGTCACACTATCATGTACGGAAAAGCAGTTCAACTGAGTCCATGAATTTCGCAAATGGACCCTAAATCATTGTACTGAAGTGCTTCTTACTGATGAATCATGTCTAAATCACCAGAAAAATTCTCGATGGCTTTCATCAACGAGAGAACTTAAGATCTCGTACCTTGCAACAAACACCCTGGAAAGTGACCATTGCAGAGAAAGTTATTTTCTACCATGGAAAAGTATAGCAAAAAACGGCTTAACTGAGCTTCGCTTATTTTTTGGTGTATCTCTAATTACTATTTGGCACTGAGTAGGATTTTTTTTTTTTTTTTCACCAATGGCGGGCACTTGACTATAATGGCACTGGCCACTCCTAAGGCCAGAACTGGTGGCCATTTTATTGTGGAGGCACCTAATAGGCGACCACCGCTACCTTCCTATGAAGGGACAGACAATTTTACATCTGTGCCTTCTCCGGGATTCGAACCCGGACCCTTTGCAATCGCAGTCTGGCTTCCCTAACCACTATATTGACTGGGCGGCAGACGGAATTCTAAATCCATATGTTGTTGTAATGAGCTTAACTTCCATATTTAACGAAAATAATATTTATACGAACAAAGCGGACTTAATTGAAAAGTGCTTGCAGAGTGATAAACTTTGTCACATACCAACACCGTACTAGACCACCAGACTTGAATCCCATCGAAAAAATACGGATACTCTTAATACTCAATATCAGAACTGAGCAATGAGCGGTAATCCCACAGAACAAGCGAGCCACCAGCAGCCGAAATTAAAAGGCGCTAAATGCCGGTAGTTCTACACAAGTTCATATTCCATCAAACGGGCTGACTGCATGGGGTTTTCTTTACATGCAAAGTGGACACGAACAAGTTTCCTTAAAATGGACTTCAGAAGGCTTTCTTTCTTTTAAGTAGACAGCCTTTTTTTCCCTAATCAAACAATAAACCATCATAATAACTAGCCCAAAGGAGCAATTTGACCAGAAGGGCTATTAATTTCGTTTTGGCATTTTGCGTCGTCCATTGTAAAACGGCTTTTCACTTTTCAAGTTGTTGCCACCAAATATTAGAGCCCTGCATTATATTTAAAGAAATTAATTAATGAAGAATCTGCATAAATGTAGGTAGTATGTTTCTCGCACTGTGAAAAAACAGCGGTACCTAGAGACATAAATTGAGTAATTGGTCTCCACTCGAAGATGGGTAGCTAAAGCCCACTGTACGGGGGTGGAATTATCTCCGTGCACGAGACTGTGTATTGAATCTAAGATCTCTTTTTAAATATTTTGTATATCGTTTGATACTTTTATGGTTTAGTGCAAGAACGTGATTTTTAAAAAGGTAACAACGCAAAACGTTAAAAAAACGCCCGTCGGCGTTATAAATCTGAAACTTCGATTTTTCTTTTCTTTCTTTTTTTTTTTTTTTTTTAATACATTAATTTGCTTTTTTTCTTAGATTCTCTTTTATTTTATAAATATTTT